CATACACGCACACACTCGCACTTCTTATGCATTTACTTATGCAACACTGAAAGTTTGATATTTGCGCTTTTAACACCTTGGTGCTATAAACCTGTATTTCACTAAAAAAAAAAATAATGTGGGCCTTTTTGATGTGATGATATTACATATTTGACTGCCATGAATGAAAATATGATTGCTTTACTGTTAGATATGTAAATACATAAGAATTGTGTGGTATGCATATAAATGCCCCAGATTTATCTTAATATGATTCTTATTACAATACCTTTTAGGAAAAATTACATACATATCTAAAATCTCAAGTTTGATATTTACTTTTAGAACACTTTGGTGTCGTAAAATTATGCATGAAAAAGCCATATATCATTTTTAAATAGCTAGCAATGATGAAATTTTTTGATGTGATGATAAAGATTTGAGTACTACAAAATGTAAATATGAAAGTTTAGTTGTTAGATGTGCAAATACATAAGAATTGGGATGTTTGTATGTAAATGCTCCATCTTTTTTTTTGGCAGATTTTCCTTGACCCGAAGGAGCGCAACAACACGTAGTACAAACTGGAGGCCTTTTCAGGAGTCCTTCGCAAGCTCTGTGGGAAGGATGTTGTGTTTGAATATCCAGTAACAGAGAATGCCTAAAACTCTTCCAAAATTAACAAGCAGAGAGACAATCTAGCTAAGAATTTTCTTGACTAAAGGTCTGTTTGGGGCAGCTGCAGCTTATTGAATAATCCGCTGATAAGCTGATTAAAAATAAACTGTTGATAAACTAGCTGCGATGACTATTATAAATTTTTATTTTTTTTGAAAAGTCAGACCGCTTTCTGAAAGCTGCCACCGCACCTAGGTAGGTGCGGTGTGAAAACGCTGTTTTCAGCATTTTCAAAACGCATAAGCTGCAAAAAAGCAATTTATCCAAACAGGTCAAGTGCGTTTTCAAAACGCCACCGCACCAAATAAGCTGCCCCAAACTGTTAGTAAGAGTTATTTTGTAATTTTAATATTTTGGATGTTTTTTTTTGCAAATTGTTTGTTTGGGTTCTGGGTATCAAGTGCACTATTTTCTTTGATTTTGTTGGGATGATTTTCTTAGGGTCCGTCTGGGACCGCGGCCCACCCACTTCACTGCAGCGGGACCCAAATTTTTACCATCCGGTTCGGCGTTCTTCGCGCAGCAGGCCGTAAATTTGGCCGAACGCGCGACGCGGGTCGAACAATTTTCTGGGACAGCACAACTACAGCTGAAAAGCTGAGAAGCTGCAACTGCACCAAACAGAGCATTAGTCTCTATTTTGAATTACATCGTAATGGAAATAGATTATGTTGTGAAGATAAAAACTTCAATTTTTACATGCATGCCACTTAATTGTGTTTATTGTATCTTTATTGTGTTTAATTTAAGAAGGATTTACATACATACCTATCTACACAGGAAAAGTTGTATTTTACTTTTGAAAGTTAATGAAACATTTAAATTTAGTCTTTTAGCTATGTAAATATATAAGAATTGGGTGGTGTGTTTGTAATTGCCTCTTAATTTAATTGTCGTCTTCAAATGTGATTTCATATTGTCTCTATGTTAGATTGAGTATTAGAAATGAATATATTAGATTGGCTACCGCACAAGTGGCCTCTAAACATTATTTTATTTAGTGATAGTTGACTTATATTATGTCACTCTAATTGATGCTTATAGTTTTATTTGTTCATGTATTTATTTTATGGGAAAATTACATGCATAGCACCCAATTCTTATGGATTTACATATCTCGCATCTAAACTTTCATTTTTATATAAATCATTTTATTTATGGATTTAATTATTAAAAGATGATAAGATGACAATGAATGATCAAAATTCAACTTGTTAGATCATATTATGTTCATTTTTAAAATAATCTTTTTATTTTTATTGAATTTTTCACAAGAAAATAAATCAAAATATTGATCATTGATAATATGAGATAATGATTGTAACAATAATAACAATATAATATTTGCATTTGATCAAATAAATGGCTGACATTTGTGAAGACCATTAAATATTTGTGCTAACATTCATCAATCATTGACAATCATTGGGTGATGGTTGATTATGACCGTTAATAATTAGTTGACGAATCATTAGTTTTTTTCAATAATTTTTCTATTGTGAAGGAGATTGATGTAAATGTTAGTGGATGACGTACATCAAATATTGGGACGTGTCAAATGATCGTTAATTGGGGATATCGAAAATTGGGTGATAATCAATAGTATGGTCATCCTTTTTAGGAGGGGAAGTTCATGATGGCGAAGAAGGGCCTAAGACTTTAGTGGCCAACTTAAATTGGATAATGGTTGACTCAATATGTTAGACATCAAGTGTGGTTAAATATACTGCTTGTTTGTTAACCTTAGAATGCCGATCATGAGCATGGACAACAAATGATATTAGCTGATAGATGTCGAACGGCATTACTGATAGATGTTGAACGACATTAACCGATAGATGTCATATGTTAGGTCATGAGTAATGGTTTAATAGGTAGGTTTACTTATGATATTGTATGGTGCCATAGAAATGATAGTTTTCGTTGGATGATGTATGTTAGACACTAGTCAGTCTATTTGATTCTTTTTTTATAGGATGCGAGATTAGTGACTAGGAAGATGTGCAACAAACATCAACACCTTTCAACACTATATATTAGTATGCAATGGACAACATCCAGTCGTGAACATTCTAAAATGATCAATAGCTTACTCGGTCATTCTCTTTTTTTGATCAATGATCAACTATGAGGAAGACAAATGTTAAATGCCAATGATTAGCATATACTCCATTTTAGCAAGTGTTGGATTTTTGCTGATGATTTATGTTTTGTTGTTGATAAGTTACACGAGTGCTGAATATTTGTTGTTGATAGACATAAGTAATTAGAAGATGTTATTCTACAATGGGAATATTAAATGATAGACGGTAATTAGTGGCCATTTAACTTATTTACCTGTTGGAAGATTGGTCAATCAACTAAGTAGATGGTTGTCCAACAACAGTAGCTAACAAATGTCAGACATTGGAATGCATCATGCAATCGTTGAATAAAAATATTGTACGCCAAGTTATAGCGGGCATTAACATTGAATAACAATTGGGGCCAACATGGATACAGGCACATAATCGTTGAAAACTTAAGTTAGTATTGGTCGGTGGTCGTTGAAATCGGTCAACGACTTTTGTTGTGTGCGATAGATGACTAATAGTCCCTCAATACTTAACACATTGCTAAAGTTAGCTTGCATAAATCAAGTCATTATTTCACTTAGTCCAGGCTTGACAACCCTAACTCTAGTACTCCTTAGATCATGAAAACATCTAATAGCATATTATTTCCCTTATTTATTCCAAGTAAGGCACCTTAGTGGCCTTATAATACTATAATAATACTAGAAATATAAACAAGGGTGACCAAAACAAACAAGGAAACAATGAAAGCTGCCCACAGCCAACTTGGCCAGCAAGTTGCAAAATCATCATTAACTTAGTACAAGCATGTAGTGGACCCCTGCAATTAAAAAATAAATAAAAATGCAATTTGCATTATTTTTAAATTAAAAGTTGGTGTTAGAAGGACCAACTTGCTTGCCTGCTGGGCCTCATTTGATTCCTTTTCTTCATTAAACTTCCTTTTATTTAATTCAACATGCTTTCTTTGATGTATGATTTTTTGACTAATGATATGGCTTTAGAATTCAAATCTTTTTAATATTAATCTTCCATTTTATGACATTTTTTTTTTTAATTTTGTTTATTTAAAGTTGCTATAATTACAATTTAATTATATTTTGTTGGAAGATTTGCATAGATACCACATTTTTTTTTTTAATTTTGTTTATTTAAAGTTGCTATAATTACAATTTAATTATATTTTGTTGGAAGATTTGCATAGATACCATGCAATTCTGATTTATTTGCATATCTAACACGTAATTTTTTATTTTTACGCATATATATTATCTTATCTGTGCATGAAAAGATGTATTTTACTTTTTTTTAATTATAATAATGATATTTTTTATGTGATATGAAAGATTTGGATAATATAAATTTAAAATATAAAATTTAGGTGTTAGATATTTAAATGCCTCCAAATATTTTTTTTTTTTCATTTTTAGAATTCTATATGATGAAAAATTGCATTATATCATAAGATTTATTATAATATGATAGTTATAAGAAAACTTTTATGCCATGTTTTTAAAATGCAAAAAAAATTATTGCACTAAACAAACTTTAAAAAAATTGCTCTTCTCCCAACTCTATAATTATTTTTTACAAATAGCTTCAGTCGCCCTAAATAAATTTGATTTAGAAAACTTTATATATATTTTTATTACCATGGGTGACAGTATATATATATATATATATATGATAACATGTAACTGCAAGAGACTATTATATGAGCCTTCAATTACCCTAATGTGTCTAACAATTCGGGTTCCACATTCTTAAAGCCAACTATGCCAAAAGGGATTCGAACCCCCGACCTGAGTGGGTCTTATACGGTGGATGCCAAACAAGAGACAATTATATATATAATGAACAAAACTCTTACTCCTTTTTTTTATTAAAATAATATTTTATGTGAATCATGATCCTAATGGTAGATGCGAGCCAGGTAATAAAATTATAATTTTAAAAAAACATGAAAATTAGGTGACTATAATTTTCATAAATCTATAATATTTTTACATTTAAAATAAATTCAAAATATTACAATATTAACTTTTCTAAAGTAAAATTTATTTTGTAATGGGTTTATTTTGAAATGTTTTAGATATTAGGGTGTTACATAGATAAATATAAATATTTAAATACTACATACCAATTAATTCCTATGTATTTACACATCTAGCACCTAACCTTAAATCATTAATTGCATTTAATTTCTTAAAATTAAGAAAAATAATAATTTTGATATGATGCAAAGATTTTGGGGGTGTAATTATAAAATGTAAAGCTTAGATGTTCGAAATGTAAATAAACCCAAAGAAATGGTATGGTATGAATGTAAATCCCATCTTCTATGTTTACCGTGTGCGGTCACAACAATAGTCCCACATCGAAATCACGTAAGACAAAAAATAACAAAGGCAAAAGCTGCGAAAAAAAATATAAAAAAGGAACAACTTTTCACGTCGAAAGCAGGCCGCCGGCGGCGGCGGCGCGATTCTCTGCGATGCGAGCCAAAGACTTTAGATTGCAGTTAATGATGGTGTCAACGAAAACTCGGGTATCGTCTCCAGTATTTCCCGGCGGCACGTCGACGACATACGACTCCACAACCACAGTGCCGCCGGCGCCGCCTTCGGCGATCTCCGGCGCAGCGTGGAGTGTGGTCACCGATCGGTAGTTGGTGAGGCGGTGCTTACCGCCGACGACTCGAAAGCTGAGCACATATCTCTCTTCATCGAGGATCTCGAGCCGCTCGGTGCTGCTCTCGGCCGGGAGACCGGAGACTAGCTTGACTTGCCGGAGAGTTCCGACATCACCATTGCCGGCGACGACGCGGCAGCTCTTGACGAAGTGTTTGTACGCCTGCGGGTTATCGAACTGGCGGAGGACGGACCAAACCGTGTGAACCGGAGCGGCGATGTGCTGCACGACCGCGGAGCAGCACTGGTTGGGTCCGACGGGGTGGTGGTGGTGGTGGCAGGCGGCGGACTCCGGGAAAGAGGCAGGGTGAGGAGTATGTCGTCGGAGGCGCCGGGGAAGGAGAGGATTTCGCCGGAACGGCGGAGTTGGGGGGTGACAGGCGGCGGTGGGTTTGGATGGAGGATTTGGGTGTGGTGCAAGGCATTGGATCCTATGGAGGAAGTTGGTCTGGCTTTTGTGCTGGGAAGGAAATCATATAAATAGGGGGGGATATATAATTATAATTTAATGTTTATTTATGCATGATTGAATAATAAAATGTAGATTTTATGTATAAAACGAAATGTCCAGATTTGCAATTTGTTTTATTTATAAGACGGCCCGGCAAGTTGTGAATAGTTTATTGCGAGTTGCAGTGTGCAAATGGGCCGGGGGTGGGCTGAAAATACAAATATAGATTTGGAGTGGACTTTTTCAAGGTCATGGTGTTGAAATGTGGAAGAGAAATATATGGCTTGGAGAGCTTTTGGGAATTAATGAATATGTTAAATATATGCATGAGGGTACATTTGCAAATATATATATATATATATATATTTATATTTGGGTAAGGTTTTCAACTCTCATAATAAATTTATGAAAAGATTGTGGTTGGCCTTCATTTAGGGTGGCGAGTTTATAGGCACTCTTTTAAAAAAAAAGGGTGTATATTATTTTTTTAATTGACCAAAATTTATATTTTATATGTGTTGGATTCATAGTTATGTATGAGTTACATATCATTTGATCAATCTTTTGGATGATTTTGATTTTTATTGGATCAACTTTAATAAGATTTGTGTGTGCTAGAAAATTCGAGGCGGTATAATAATGAATTATCATCTTAGAGTTTCATGAGAATTCAACACACACTCAATTAAAAGAAAGTAACCAGTAATGACATCAGAATTTTTTATGTGGAAAAACCCGTAAAGGGAAAAAACCATGAGGTCTGACTCAGTTGTAAAAATCCACTATATGTTGATGATTACAGAAACTCTTTGTCCCATAGATGGGAAATGGTTGCAAGATTTTTCAAATTACAATGCTGACAGTCGGTGTCTGATTAATAGCGCTCAATGACGATTGATGATGATCGACGGTGGTTAGTGGTGATCGACGATGGTCAGAGGTGGTTAACAATGACAACAGTGTTCGACAGTGGTTGGTGGTTGTCGACGGCCGGCGACGACGATCGACGGGTAGGAATGGTGATGGACTTCAACTCCTTCTTAAAGCCTCATGTTCTCTCTCAGGGCCAAACTCCTTCTTCATGAGAGGGGTGAGACTTTATTTATCACGTTTTAAGTGCAGTTAATACAAGAAGATGAACCATTTTGATCGAGCGGTCCGGAGAGCTTCCTTCACTCAGAAGGCGTTTGATGGACATTTAGATGTCTTAACGATGTCAAAATTGAGCAATCTTTGGCTCATTAGATTTGTCTTGTCAAGACACTCGATCTGACTATAAACTCGCCAGATTCAACATCCATTTGACCTTTCCAATATGTCAGGAAATCTTTCAAGTGCGGTTTAATGATTTGATCTGCGCTTGATTTGACTCGAATTGGCTAACTTTGATATCATCAAGTACGTCTCAACGAGCCGGTCAGTTTGACATAAGTTTGGTAAAATCGAAGTTCTAGATAACTCTTAAATGAAGTTTGAAAGGTTTTGTTCAAAAATTCATCCCGAGATTTTGAAATTTGTTGGTGGCATATCAAAGATGATGTAGACACAAATAAAAGATCTTACTAAGGATTTTAAAGCTAAGGCTATTTAAGATAATGATTAATGCTTCTATATGTTGGAGAAGATCTTACTAACTAATTAGATAGACAAATGCACCATTTTTTTTCTCTTGCATAAGAAATAAGCTAATCTCTTGAAGAGCAATAACAAAATATGCATACAACATATTTCATTGGGCGAGTTTAAATCATAGAGACAATGACTCCAATTAGTCATTCCCCATCCTTCTCCCTTCAGGAAAGTCAAAAAATTTCCTCAATAGTAATGCAACCTGTCTGGCTGGCTAGAGAAGTGAGATAAAGAGAGGAGGCTAACAAATGAAGCATCTACAGGGACCTATGGTGAAGTAATTCTAAGATTGCTTCTTCTTTTTTTTCTAGGGAACTCTACTTTGCCTGTTCTAAGTTATTTATAGGTAACATGACATTCATCCATTTATTGAAAATAAGTGTCACCCCCTTAAAAGTCTTAAAAATGATAAGTATTTATCTCTAGGGCAAGCTAAGTAATGAGTTAAAGCTGCAATTTTATTTTTCGAGCATCATTCCTCTTTAAAGTTTCTTAGGGGTGCAATGTTTATAAACACCTTGATTTTCTAAAGATTGGCTTCAATCCTCATGAATCTAAAAATTTATCTAATGTGGCCCAAAAGTGCTCTTAACTAGGTTGAGTGACATATCATTCTGCCAAAAGAGGCAGAAGCATCGCTCCAATTTTGATATATATTGAGATTTTTCCAAGCTTTTCACTAGCATGCTACATGTTCATTTTTATTTGATTTTTGTTAGAGTAAACATCTAGGAAAATAAGCATCTATTTCTTCTTAATTGACCTAAAATTCTATTGGAAACCAATACTTCAAAGTATGTTAATATGTATCCATCATGACAAGCCAATCAACCATACAATTATCTTCTCTATAAAAAAGAAAACATTTATAATGAAAGTTTCACATTTATAAATAGACAAGCATACTCCCAATGAACAGCCTTATTATTGCCGAAAAATATACTCATAACATAAAAAAAATATAAAAAATTAAATACAAGAGATTTATACTATTTTATCATATGAATATTTAAATGAATACATAATAAAATAAATAGACTCTTTTACTCAATAAAACAACATTGGGTTACATATATTAATATTTTTTTTATTTTTTATAATTATTTTTTATAAATAATAATAATTAATCAGAAATGTGTTTGCATGAATTTTGAGGAGATCCGATAGATAAATGGATAAAGGAGTACGACTAAGGAGAGCACATATGCGAAAGACTAAAGATTCTATAGATGGAAGACCAAATGTTTCACAAGCGGAAAATCAAAAGGCCCACAAACGGTAGATCAACTGTCCACTATTGGAATACCAAAGGACCTACTTGACTAGGTACAAGCCCCCGAACCAAGGCTAGAGGTCGACCGAATGAAGACCATCCGAACCAAGGACCAAAGCAATCTAAATGTGCAAAAGCATCGACCTACCTCTCGTCATAATCAGACTCAAGAACAGCTCAACACCACCAACCATCTCACGGGCTCCTCTGATATTCCTCATTTGGGCCCAAGAATTGGCCATAACATAATCACACGGAGCATCTCAAAGGATCGCCTCGTTATGGTGTGAGCTACCCATTATATTACGATGATTCACCCTTTGCCCGACATTCTAGTCATATTCTGCCAATAGAAGTTCTTCGTTCGGGGATCAATAGTCAGCAACCAGACTAGAATGGTCGACCAACAATGTCAAGCTGATCGGGTCAAGTTTTGTCAACCCAAAGAACATCGAAGGTCATCCGACAACCCCTATTTAGCACAGTCAGACCAACATATCCTGTAAAACACTACTAAAATTGGGGAAAACATGTAATTTCATATTGCACATCTTTCTCTATAAATTACGAATCATCTCTCTCTCTCTCTCTCTCTCTCTCTCTCTCTCTCTCTCTCTCCAACAAGAACAACAACAACAATAACAACAATAATAATTTATAATGAATTGCAGTCTGCTAAGCATTAGAGTTAAAGTTAAAAAAGCCTAACCTTTTTGTCTCTTAGCCTCCAAGACCATTTACGCCTTAAAAAAATAAATCAAATTGCAATTTAAAAATCATTTTCTTAAAAAAGACATTGCCATCAGCTGTTTGGTGGGAGGATTTATGGTGAATTTTGTGAGTTGATGTGCACGATTAAAATAAATCTTATATATTTTTTAATATTATTTTATCATGCTGTAGATATTATTTTGATAAGTTTATCATTGAAAATTTCAAAAAAATAATTTTATAATTGATTTTAATTATTTAAAAAGAAAATAATTTACGGAAATTATTATTATTTGAGAATTTTTCTGATTAAATAGGAATTCTTATAATTAATTAATTAATAATCAGTGTAATTAAAATTAAAAAAATAATTAACCAAAATTTAGAATATTCAATCACAGTCCAAATAGATACGTTAATTCATAAAATTAAATCAACATTTTATGATTATTTGTAGTTAATTAAAAAGTTATGTAATTCAAAATTGTTATCATTTTTTATTTAATTTGACTGAAGAAAATTTATTTTTAATTTAATTTTAAATTTCTTATTAATATTAATTAAATTGAATATTCTTAAGATGATTTTTTTAAATAATCCAATTAATATAAATTAAAAAAATAATATAACCAAATATAACAATCTTATGAATTTTTAAATTTTAAAAATAAATGGTCAACTAAATTATCTGAACTTGTAAGATATAATATAATATCATGATCATATAAATCCATAACATTTAAAATAAATAGCCAAAAAAATATCTGAGTTTATTAATATTTGCATCTACTATTTCAAATAATTTCCAAGATTTACAAACAAAAATAAAAATAAAAATAAAGTAAATAAATAATAATAATAATAATTATTATTATTATTATTTCCAAGATTTAATACACAAATACTCACTAATTCCAGATTTCAAGGATTGCAACGATTTCAAGAAAGAATTACAGCAAAAAATTTTTCTGTGCGAACTCCTGACGTAGCTCTAAGGGCGGCCGAAGTTATATTTATGAGTTATTTTTAGATTATTTCTAGGTTATTTTCAATAATACCGAAATAACCCAAAAATAAAGACCGCCGGTTATTTATGGGTTATTTCAAGATTATTGAAAATAACCCAAAAATAATCTGAAAATAACTCAGGAATAACCTACGCCGCACGTAGAGCTACGTCAGGAGTTCGGACAGATAATGCGCTCAATTACAGACACACCACTAACCGCCTTTGTATTTACACATCAACCACCTAAATTTTGACTTTTATGCATATGCCATTTTAACCATAAGAAGTAAATTTAAATTTTATTCTTCAAAAGTTAAGAAACTGATATTTTAATGTGATAATGTAAGTATAATAAGTAATACAATTCAAGTATCAGGAAAAATTATTACGTACGTTCACCGTTTATCGTACGCAGAGATGCATACGGTGAACCAATCAAAATCCTCCCTCTATCAAAAAATATATGTTAATGGGCCCCAATTAATTTTTTTTTTTAAAAAAAATTCTGATTGGACAGTACGCGCAAGTTGCGTGCGTTATTTGCGTGCGCTGTCCGCATAGAATAAACGCTCAAGTATCAGACATGTAAATATATTAAAGAATTGGGTGGTATGTGTGTAATTACTCTTTAATTAATGATATTTGCAGACTGCCCCTTGTGTTTTAATTATTATTTGTGAAGTCCAAATGGACCTCGACCTCATGTACAATAATATTCTATATTATTATAAAAATATTATATAATAGTGTATAATAATGTTATATATATGATCAAATACATTCAGATTCCATACATAATATTCGATCATTTAGTCTCTTTGCACACTCGTGAAATTTGCGGCACGAAATTCATCGTTCTCCTATCTCTTTTTTATGATTGTTTTGATCATTTTATAGTAAGGTGAGCTTCTTCCCAATAAACATAGGAGTACTATGTATTTGCATATGGGTGCATGTGAACGTTATGTCTAATATTATGCACTGTTGTATGACTAAGTGTATAACAGCATACAACACTGTTATATATAGAATTCTTAGGCATAGGAATAAATATTATGTGTGCATTGGTAGGTGTGAATAGGGGTGTAAACGAGTCGAGCTTGAGCGAACCCAAGCCAGCTCGTTAGAAAGTATCATTGTTTGTGTTATTATAGGAAAAAATGCTATAACCAACGACTTAAATTTTACGACCCCCG